GTAGATATAATTAATTTAAACTATATACATGTGGCAGGAGACGGATCATAATTAACACATGTAACACCATCTTCATAGCTGCTAAAATTATTGTGAGCTCAACATTGTCTTAACACTAGCTCCACATGTCATCAGTATGGTAGCACCATTATTTTATTCATTCCTTGTCTTGGGATTACTATTTCTGTCTATTCCGGTAAGTAACTAATTTTTCCATTTTTTTGATTCATTGGAATTAAGTAGCTTAATGATAGTTTTATTTCTTGTTATTTTCTTATTCCCAGCGTTTTATCAGTGCCATTATTTTGATATCACCATGTTGGCATCGTTATGATTATCTGGCACCATTATTATCATTTTGTGAAATCTTATGGCAGTAGCATTATTTTAATATCATTTTGTGCCATCGTAAGCATTATTTGGATATTATTAAGTTGGCATCGTTTAAACTAAGGCATCATTATTGTTATGTCCGTACCATTATTTTTACCATTATCTGCTAGCATTATTTAAAAAGATTGTCCAGAGGTTTTCTAAATTTTTATGTGTATCATATGTCCACATAAAATAAGTGTTTAATGACGTCACTAATCACAAAATTTGCTCTATAACATAGGCCCTTCGCGACTAATGACGTCATCAAACGCTTAGTTTTAGTGGAATTGCAGGAATCACAGACGTTCAGCTAGAAATCTCTTTACAATTACTTTAAGAATTATGTTAGTATCATCATTACATTATGTTAGTATCATCATTACATTATGTTAGTCTCATTATGTTAGTATTAATCTACTTTATGGTATGAATTATGTTGGTACCATTATATTGATATCCTTATTCTTATACAGCATTATGTTGGCATTGTAATGTTTGCATAATTATTTTAGTATAATTTTTGAACACACCATAATGTTAGCATCATTTTGTTTGTACCGTTGGGTGAACATTATCATAATTATAACCATACAATAATTGCTTATTGCTATAGTTATTCTTGATGCAACTTCAACGTCAAATTTACCGCCATTGCTCAATATATAGCGTTGTCCATCTTTGTTCAACGCTCAATAAATAGCGCTGTCCATCTTTTTTAAACGCCCAATTTATAGCACTGTCCGTCTTTATCTAACGCTCAATATATAGCGCTGTCCATCTTTATCTAACGCTCAATATATAGCGCTGTCCATCTTTATCAAACGCTCAGTTTATAGCACTGTCCGTCTTTATCTAACGCTCAATATATAGCGCTGTCCATCTTTTTTAAACGCCCAATTTATAGCACTGTCCGTCTTTATCTAACGCTCAATATATAGCGCTGTCCATCTTTATCAAACGCTCAGTTTATAACGCTGTCCATCTTTATTAAACGCCCAATATATATCTATTAAACCAGGCAGATTCGATATCTTTGGATTTTTTCATTTTTTTCTACAATGTTTGATGTTTGTAAAAAAATGATTTAACAAAGAAGTGCGTAAAACTCCGATCCGATTCATTTTACTCCCTTTTTGGAATAAAAAAAACATGCAGCATTATATAACGTTAGGTCTTTAACCTACGACAGGCCTATTATTCTGCTATCTAAAGTTTATATGTATTTAAGATTTATTTGAATTGGGTGCAAAACTGACCTTTGTCTTCGAGATAATTGTCTCATAATATTGAGATAAGGCTTTCTTAATGACAATCTTTGAGTCCGAAACACTTGACAAAAGTTTTTTTAAGATAGCTAGCCTGTAAATCTTTTACTTCTTAAAGATGGATTTTTTAGAGTAAAATTAAGCAAACTATTCATAAAGCCCTTTGAATGAATATAAATTGTTGAAAATGGGAGTGGGGGGAATTCGATTGAAGTAAAGTCCCATAAAGGAACGTTTCGATTAGTATAGTCAAGTTTTGATATACAAGCGAGAGTGTAGGTGGAGGAGGGGGGTGGGGGGGGGGGGGGGGGTCCACCAATTATGTAGTACTGCTCTCTTAAAAAAAATTCGTTGAAACTAAATTATTTCTGCTAAAGGAAATCCTAATAAAACGTTATTTATACACATTAATCATAGAGAGGATCTAAGGATATGATATATAAGATATGACAATATTATTTAGGTCAAGTATTGGACTAGATTGGCTATCACTTGACTAGACGTTTCCGATTGCAATGAAAGGGCGATGGCCGCCTGAATGGTAATCTGAAAAGCCACACGTTGTGTCAACTAATGATACAATTGGACGCGTCATCCCCTTTAATATAAAGAGCACGGTACACTTACATTATCCGTCGGATATCATTCATTACATTTTTCTTTGAAGTATAATATATTTATTCATAGAAGTAGGGTTAGTATACTTACAGTTTCAATATGGTTATATAACATTTTTAACAAATAATATCGTCAGTTTTATTTAACACTCCGTATTATTTTCCATTTAACATTGTTAATACCTTGATTTCCAAATAAACATTGTTAATACTTTGTACTCTCCGTATGATTTCCAAATAAACATTGTTAATAATTTAACAAGTTGTCGGCTGTCCAAATAATCAATGTTAATAATTTGTACTCTCCTTATGATTTCCAAATAAACATTGTTAATAATTTGTACTCTCCGTTTGGTTTCCAAATAAACATTGTAATAATTGACATTCTCCACGAGATTTCCAAATAAATATTGTTAATAATTTGTACTCTCCATGTGATTTCCAAATAAACATTGTTAATAAATTGTACTCTCCATATGATTTCCAAATCAACATTGTTAATACTTTGTACTCTCCGTATGATTTCCAAATAAACATTGTCAATAATTTGTACTCTCCGTTTGGTTTCCAAATAAACATTGTTAATAATTGACATTCTCCATGAGATTTCCAAATAAATATTGTTAATAATTTGTACTCTCCATGTGATTTCCAAATAAACATTGTTAATAATTTGTACTCTCCATATGATTTCCAAATCAACATTGTTAATACTTTGTACTCTCCGTATGATTTCCAAATAAACTTTGTTAATAATTGACATTCTCCACAAGATTCCCAAATAAACATTGTTAATAATTTGTACTCTCCGTATGATTTCAAAATAAACATTGTTAATAATTCACATTCTCATCAAGATTTCAAAATAAATATTTTTAATAAGTTGTACTCTCCGTATGATTTCCATATAAACATTGTTAATAATTTGTATTGTTCCGTATGGTTTCCCAATAAACTTTAATAATAAAAGCATAAAAGTTATAATGTGTTTTTTTTTTATCTCGATTTCACATTGCTAATAAAACTCATAATATGGTATATCGAGTCTGAAATGCTAAATATATTCTTTTTCTTAATTACAGGCAGTGACCCCAAAAGGGGTGATAAAAGTTCAGTTACGGACGTTTAAGAATCCCGGAGGTAAGGGCAACAATGGACATTGCTGTGACGGACGATGGATATTCTGTGGATCTGCATGTGACCATAGATTTGAGATTTGTTTGGACAAGGTCAATGGAGAGTAAGTATTGGATGTGTCATCAATTACCTGTATATGATCTCTATTGTCTAACCTCCGTGTCGTAGCGAGGAATTCATTGACTGAGGAGGGTGGGGACGGGTCTAGTCTAGGCTGCATTTAATACAATTTTGAGTGTAAAAGTAGAATAAATTTCCCATTTATCAAGGTCCGTAGGGGGCGGAAGAATAACACAATGGCTCCCCTAAATTACCAACTGTCTATCCTTGGTTCAAATTTCATCATAAACGCTCTAAAATCTACATTATTACGTGACATATTATCTCTGTGCAAACTACTGCTCAATAATGCCAGTATCTAATAACAATGCATGAGACTCGAGTTAAAATAATAACTATCCATATGTCTGATGAAATGAAATGAAGGGAGTTTTACGTCCCATATGTCTGATAACATTGACAAAAAAGCTATTACGAACTCCGTCGTAACCTTGACTTCATAAGGCTTTTTTCTCGTATCACACATCAGTTTGTAAATGTAGCGACTCGATTGGAATGTTCGCTACCGAAATCTGTAAACCATTAGCCATAATATCAAGGGTTCTGATAGGCTTATTCTCTACAGTACAATTCAATTAAATAGCTACATTCTGTGATACAAAAAAGAGCTCAGTAAAGCCAAGGTATTAGACGCACTTCGTAATAACTTGACACTGTTAATATTGGTAATTAAATAACCAAATGTTTCTAGAAAATGTGTGGGTTTTTTTAATTCTCCATAGCCATAGAATAACATCATGTCAATACGGTAAAATAACCACCAAAGATGTTCCTGACAGAAATTATATTTACTTTGGTTCTTCTATTGGTGGTGTCCGGAATCCTATGGTATTTACCCTAAACAGTATCCCAGTAAGTATGACTACTTCTAGATATGTACCAATTTATAGCTGATAGAACAAGACTAGAAATATTAAAGCAGAACCTGAACATACCTGAACAGTGGTATTTCTATATCGCTCTACAATTGATGTATAGAACACTATTATAACAGTGGTATTTCTATATCACTCTACAATTAATGTATTGAACACTATTTTAACAGTTGTATTTCTATATCGCTCTACAATTGATGTATTAAACACTATTTTAACAGTTGTATTTCTATATCGCTCTACAATTGATGTATTGAACACTATTTTAACAGTGGTATTTCTATATCACTCCACAATTGATGTATTGAGCACTATCTTAACAGTGGTATTTCTATATCACTCCACAATTGATGTTTTGAGCACTATTTTAACAGTGGTATTTCTAAATCGCTCTACAATTGATGTATTGAGCACTATTTTAACAGTGGTATTTCTATATCGCTCTACAATTGATGTATTGAGCACTATTTTAACAGTGGTATTTCTGTATCGCTCTACAGAAGACGTATTGAGTACTATTTTAACAGTGGTATTTCCATGTCTCTCTACAATTGATGTATTGAGCACTATTTTAACAATGGTATTTCTATATCGCTCTACAATTGATGTATTGAGCACTATTTTAACAATGGTATTTCTATATCACTCAACAATTGATGTATTGAACACTATTTTAACAGTGGTATTTCTATATCTCTCTAAAATTGATGTATTGAGCACTATTTTAACAGTGGTATTTCTATATCGCTCTACAATTGATGTATTGAATACTAATTTAACAGTGATATTTCTATATCACTCAACAATTGATGTATTGAACACTATTTTAACAGTGGTATTTCTATATCACTCAACAATTGATGTATTGAACACTATTTTAACAGTGGTATTTCTATATCACTCAACAATTGATGTATTGAGCACTATTTTAACAGTGGTATTTCTATATCGCTCTACAATTGATGTATTGAATACTAATTTAACAATGATATTTCTATATCACTCAACAATTGATGTATTGAACACTATTTTAACAGTGGTATTTCCATATCTCTCTACAATTGATGTATTGAGCACTATTTTAACAGTGGTATTTCTATATCGCTCTACACTTGATGTATTGAGTACTAATTTAACAGTGATATTTCTGTATCGCTCTACAAAAGATTTATTGAACACTATTCTAATAGTGGTATTTCATGTATCGCTCTACAGTTAATGTATTGAGGATATATTCTATGGAACAATATTATGGGGACCAAAGGTCCAAGAATAAACACTTTTTTCTTGAAATTTTGTTGTATTATTCTAAATATGTACTAATATTGAAAGAATACTCTTTCAGATTGCAAGATTCTAGCCCTTTGTTTTCAAAGTATTGCACTCCTGTTCACCCATACAATGGATTCGAAAAATAAATGTGGCAGAGAACCCCTCTAATCTAAGTTTCCGCCATTATAATTTGGTATGTTTATTCCAGTCAAGTATTAGAGTAAAAATTGGTGTCTGGGATGTTGATGATAGTAGTTCTCACGATTATGTTGGCTATCTTTATAAAAATATCAACCTAACACCTGGTAAATCAGAATATATCATGCTCAGCAATAGAATCGTGTAAGTTTAATTCAAAATCTAACAGAATGTACAAGGTACCAAAATACAGTTAAAGGGACAAGTACGCCATTTTTTTTTGGGGGGGGGGGGGGAGATTTGAATCTTAACTATGTTAAAAAAAATTTTCAGAAGTACTAGTAATGTATGAAAATCGCATAATTCCTCTAACTTAGACTTTCTTTTCCTATTTCTACAGATGTATTTTTTTTATGTAGGCCTATGGCATAGTCTCAAGATGTATTATCCCAACTGAATAAAAAATAACCAAAGAATTTATCTGCACGTCTGAGTAGCTCCAATAGTGTCACCAAGAACAACATTTGGATTGATAATCATATCTATTTTGGTTGTAGATTAACAGGGAATGTATGGTCAGCATGTTTACCAGATTACTATGGGTCAGATTGTAGCGTTTACTGTAAAGCTTCCTCCAATATGTGGGGATTTTATACTTGTGATAAAACTACTGGAGCCAAGAAATGTCTTGCAGGTAAGAAGAAAATACAATACCACAATGATGTTGAGGAAATGTGCTTATATGGACAGGGACGAAGGGACGAGCATGGGTGCACATAGAGAGCATACGAAACTACATATTGTGTTCTTACAAGGAAATAACACACACGAACGCAATTTACAACCATTTTGAATATCTGCCTCGACTAAATAAATCGATTTTTTAGAAAGTCTTAGAATCATATTGAAAAGTTTAGAAATGGCTTTAAATCTGATTTGAAGGCTTTGTTGAAATATTAAAACCTTTTTACCTCGAGGAAAAGATTCAAAATGGTTGTGAACTACGCTTGTTTGTGTTATTTCCAGGTAAAAAAATCAGACGTAGTTTCGTATGACATAGAAAGATGTTGATGTATATGAACGCTTAATTCGGATGGGACAATAAACCGTTACCCTGCATTCTGGAGAATTTGCTCGATAAAGATCCCTCGATATTTTGAAAATAAAAAAATATATATGCTAATATTTTCTTTCCTGCCAAAACCTCCCTCTTAAAAATTTTTGTGATTTCTTGCACAACCAAGAGAAGAAGGACATAAGACTATATTTCATTTTACTCTCGTCTTCTTATTTATCATCATCAGCATCAGCATCAGTAGGTTAAAAAATTGACAAATTGTACCGTTATCTACTAGCATGCTGGTTTGGATCAATTTGATTAGCACTCTATTACAACAAATTTCAGTATAGGTCGTTAATGAAGTTAATTTTTGTTCATATTGCATAAAAAAATCAGTAGCAGCTCAAAATATATCAATTGCAGCCTTCAGACCCATCTTGCCAATGATGTTAGCGAATGTAGAGACCGACAAAAGTTTCCTCAAAAATATACAATTTGATTTGATTCGTTGTGATAAATTTTGATTTTGGCTAATCATAGGAAATATTGGATCTCAAAGAGTGTATTTATAGTAACAAAAAGCGATGCGATATCACTTTAATTGAACCCTGGTTTGAATGGGTTGTTGAATTCTATTATTATAGGTTATACTGGTAGGAACTGTGCTGTAAGAACCAATGAATGTCAATCAAACCCATGTCGTAATGGTGGTACTTGTTTAGATGGACATCTGAATTATTCTTGTAAATGTCTAAAAGGTTTTACAGGTAATGTCCAATTCATCGTCAGGTTCAACCATATAAGTGTGGGTGGGGGTTTAAAATCATACAAATTGGTATATTTGGCCTGATGATCACAGCGGTAACTTTCTGATGACCAGATGATGAGAGCTGTCATTTCTGTATCGACTTCAGTGATTGAATCTATATGTTCGTTTCGTATCTGACAGAATATCTAAATATATGTTAAATGTTACTTTTTATTCATCAAATCTGCAATAGACCCAACAAATGGGTTTTGGCATATAAGTAGTAAAGGTTATTTACTAACAGTAAACTCAAATCTTTGAACATCTGTTGACACACTTCAAGATACTTCTTAAATTTAAGGTGCTCAATGTGAAGTCAACATTGACGAATGTGCAAGTAGTCCCTGTTTACACGGTGGACTGTGTGTAGATAGTGTAGCTAATTATACATGTCAATGTACTAAAGGATGGACTGGAACAAATTGTCAACTGGATATCAATGAATGCTCATCATCACCATGTCAGAATAATGGTGTCTGCAGAAATGAAGTAGCCGAGTATCGTTGTGAATGTCAAGAGGGCTTTACTGGTAAGCTGTGGCTTATTCTCCATTTTGTCTCTTGTCCATAAATAGACTACTCTCGAAATTCATGTTTCGGGAATTACAAATTATATACACTATGCTGAACAATAGTCAGTCTAATTAAAATTAGAACCAACTTTCGCTTCGTTTCTTTTGTGATAATGTGCATCTTTAACCAAACTTTTATTATAGCCACTACTCAGTAGGGTCTAACGACCGAAGTCTTGGACATTCGTCAAATTAATCTTTGGACCTAACCTACTTTAACCAATCACATTTTAGCCTTCTCCAGTGTTGGCATCTTGTGAAGCATCGAAAGGTGTATTTTCAGGAGTTAAAGACTAGTTATTTAGTCCACTGAAAGTGAAAAAAGAAAACGTGCCTTTTCATTGGATGTTCCGAATTGACACAATTAGATTTGATTGGTTAACACAAACGTCATCAGGTTAGGTCAAAAGGTTAATTTGACGAATGTTCAAGACTCTGGTCTTTAGACCCCACTGTGGAGTGGCTTTACTAAAACAAACTAATGAAAAAAACGAAACGGAAGTTGGGTCTTATTTTAATTAAACTAAAAATAGTATAGAATATATTCTGCTGAAAACCCCCCAGGCGATGTCTGGTGTTAGTTGACATTTATTTGATTCACTGAAGAACATTCACTGTTTTCAAACTTTCTGGAGAAAATTAGCACTTGCTGCTTGACTCTAATCCATAGTAGGCTAATCATCGTTTATATTTTTTTTATCTGGAACAGGTGGGCAGTGTGAGACCAACATTAATGAGTGTGAAAATTCACCTTGTCGACATAGCGGTACCTGTATCGATCTTATAAATGGATACACGTGTATCTGCTCTCAAGGCATGAAGGGAGATAACTGTGAAATTAATATCGATGATTGTGAAGTGAATCCGTGTCACAACAGAGCAATATGTTTGGATCTGATAGCAGATTATTTCTGTGCTTGTCCTACTGGATTCACAGGTAAATGTTATTGATATATTATAAAATACGAAAATGTGGAGAGATAAGTGAACTCTCTAAATGTGAGTTGACAAACCAGAGAAGAAGCCATTCGAATATTGTAAAGTATTCCCAAGATAAGCGTGCTTTTTCATCTGGATTACCTGGTCTTGAAACGAGTGCTAGGATATCACTGAAAGAGTGTTAAGACCCTTGAATATCGAGAATACGCGGTCATGTATGATGTTGCTGCCATCTCTCTTAATCTTTGAACTTTTCATCTTGAAGGGCTAACCTTAAATTTTGATAAAGAAAGAAAGAAACAACTATATTTTACAAGGATAACAACTTAGGTTCACAGTTAAGGATCCTTTCTACCAGCTGGTCCTTGGTCCTCATCGAACTTTTGCACGCCAATCGAGATCGGAACCCACAGTCGCCATTTGATCGACGTAACCACGCAAATGACGTCATGTAAAGTACCAACGCTATAGAAGGAATGAGAATATTATTATGTGATTGTCAAATCACCTTTCTTGCTTTTATTGTTTCAGGAAAGGAATGCCAGACAAATATTAATGACTGTGAATATTACTCTCAGCCATGTCAAAATGGCGGAAGTTGTATTGATGGAATTGATGACTACGCATGTCAGTGTCTGCCAGGATATGAGGGATATAACTGTGCAATTGATGTTGATGAATGTCTGTCGTCACCGTGTAAGAATAATGGTAGCTGTCTAGATGGTATTAATGAATATTCCTGTACATGTTCACTCGGTTATACTGGTATGTGTATTTTAACATAAAGCATGTAGATCATTATCATGATTATCGTTGGGGTGGGGTTTCGTGATTTGCGCCCCTAGAATAATGGTTTGCACCCCCAATTGTATCCTCACTTTTTTTTTAAAAATGAATTGAGAAATATAATTTTTATACGTTTTTGCCAGATTGTATCAAATTTTTTCAAAAATTTTCTCGGCAGAATCCACTCTGATGTTCCATTAGAGGTTTACGACTATAACGCCTCCACAGAGGAATTTAGCCTCGACAGTCCTCCTACCATTGAGTCAGTCTGTCTCCTATTTCTGCTCCCAGTTTCTGGAGGCTGGAGTCTTATAGTAACGTAGAGCATTCAAGCTTAAAACTGTCAATCTGTCAGTTGGTTTCTTTAAGTCCATTAGATTTGGATAATAAATAAAAACCGACCTTTTAAGATATCCGGTTTTTCATCGATATCTTCACAGTCCGTAACATGCGGAACCACGTATGGCTCGTGTGTGATATTTCCATGTAAGAATCCCATACGTAGTTTCGTATGAGCCAGTAATTACTTTTACACCCATCTTAAAGATATGCAATACCATTACTCTGTTAACGCTATGTTCAATTTAATTAGAATTAGACCAAACTTTCGTTCGGTTTTTTTTTTTTTCATTAGGTCTTGTTTTTAATATAGCCAATTCAGTTTAGGTCTACGACAGCCTTCTTGAGTGTTCCGCAAATTAAATTTTTGACCTAACCTAACCTAACCTCGTCAAACAATACCAGCACTGGAAAGGGTAGAAATTCGATTGGTTAAAGCAGACGTCATTGAATTAGGTCAAAAGGTTAATGAACGTTCAAGAGGGCTGTCGTTAGACCCTAACTGAAGTGGCTATATTAAAAATAAAAGCTAATAAAAAACGGATCAAAAGTACGGTCTAATTTTGACTAAACTGACGTTAAGTTCAGACTGTGAGGTTGATGTTGATGACCGTGATGACCCTTTTATTTCCAGCAAAACTGACCTTACGATTGAGAGATAACGGGTGACAAATTGTGATCACTATACTTTTCTTTCTGCAGGAAGAGATTGTGAAGTAGATATAGACGACTGTAAAGATAACAGCTGCGTAAACAATGGTACATGTGTTGACGCACCTGCATCCTTCAGTTGCCTTTGTGATACTGGTTTTACTGGAGAATATTGTGAGATGGACTATTGTGAATATGCAGACTGTGGAAATGGGACTTGTGTACGGCAGGTTGATGGGTACAATTGTAGCTGTGATCCTGGTATAACTGGGGTATCTTGTGAAACAGATCTTTGTGCTGATTCGCCTTGTGGGAATGGAACTTGCGTAAGAAGTCTTAACGGTTACAATTGTAGCTGTGATCTTGGGTTCTCTGGAACAGCCTGCGAAATAGATCATTGTGAAGGAGCAACTTGTGGTAACGGAACGTGTGTCAGACAGTCTGATGGATACAATTGTAGCTGTGGTCTTGGGTTCTCTGGAACAGCCTGCGAAATAGATCATTGTGAAGGAGCAACTTGTGGTAACGGAACGTGTGTCAGACAGTCTGATGGATACAATTGTAGCTGCGAGCTTGGGTTCTCTGGAACGGCCTGTGAAATAGATCATTGTGAAGGAGCAACTTGTGGTAACGGAACGTGTGTCAGACAGTCTGATGAATACAATTGTAGCTGCGATCTTGGGTTCTCTGGAACAGCATGTGAAATAGATCATTGTGAAGTAGCCACTTGTGGCAACGGAATGTGCATCAGACAGTCGGATGGATACAATTGCAGCTGCGACTATGGATTCGTTGGAATTTCCTGTGAGACAGATCTTTGCTTAGATTCGCCTTGTGGTAACGGGACATGTGTACCGTTGTCTAATGACTACACTTGCAGTTGTGATGTTGGTTTCACTGGTCAGAGATGCGATATCAATATTGATGATTGTGAGGCGAACTTGTGTCAGAACTCTGCAAGTTGTACAGATGGAGTGGATTCCTTTATCTGTGAATGTTTGGTTGGGTTTACAGGTTAGTATACGAGCGATATTATATTATCTTAGATAGGTACGAATATCATATAACCTACAGGTATACGAGACACTTTTACAGTGGCTAATGGCGAATTCTTTTCTTCAAGACATGCTGCTTCTTGAATTATTACCACCATTACCGACTACCATAATGACTTGTTGAAAAACGGGCCCTTTTTGTTTACATTTAAAACGATTAATAGATTAATTAAGGGTTTCCTTATTACTTTTTTAACGATTTTCAAGAATTCAGACTTGACAGCATAGAACATAGCATCTAATAAAAAATACATGTTAGAAATGATACGCCAAATCTTTGAATCAAATTTATTTTTAGGTCAGTACTGTGAGAGTGAGATAGATCATTGTCAGTTTAATAATTGTGCTGATGGCTCGTCTTGTGTCAACTCTCAAGAATCTTATAGTTGTATTTGTGCTGAGGGAACGACAGGAAAGTCATGTGAACAGAACATCGACTCTTGTGATCCAGATCCCTGTACCAATAATTCAACTTGCGTGGACCAATTGACTGGTTTCGTGTGTCTCTGTCAGTCCTACTCTACAGGACTGTTATGTGACACTTTAATCTCCCCATGTGAAGATTCGCCATGTATAAATAACGGTACTTGTGTTGAGGAAGACGTTTCAAACTTTACGTGCAGCTGCACAGACGAGTGGACAGGCCCAACTTGTAATGAAAGAATAATCGAAGTTGCATTCACAACTGATACATCTGGCCTTGAAACAAGTTCACCAGTTCCATCAACGACATCCCCCACGAACGCCCCATTCTCAACAGGATCTGATGATTTACCAGACGCAACAGGACGGCAATTAATTAAACCCATGGGTAAGTGAACGTACATACGTTCTTTTTGGAGTAATATTGACAAAATTGTCGAAAAATAAATAGAGAAGAAAGACTGGAAGCAATATAATCTTATACCAGACGGCAGCGAATTCCAGAGCTTTTTTGCTTTAGATTATTGCCAATCAAAGGAGAAGGATCAAATATCCACAGAGGCTTATTATAATGATATCATAATCACCTAAGTCATGGCTATCTATACAGGACAGTTCAATGGTGTTCTTTATTTAGCTTAACTTCTCAGTTAATGCTGTTCTATTTATGCTCAGATGAAGCATGTTGTTCAATTAATCGTGTTCTATTTGTGCTTAGAAATCTGAACTAGTTGATTTATGCCACTGTCCTGACAAAATAACACACTGCATGATTGGGTAGTTCGCCATCATTAGCTCAATAAGCTAATTTTCCACCATTCCATTGTAGAGATGAAACTACCACTTGTATTACGGGGAACTTTAACTGATAAAGACCAAAGAGTAATTACCAACGGTATAAAAGATATTCTGGTAACATTTGGATCATATAAAGAACCAGACATAAGGCTTGCTGTAAAACTGAA